GGGGAACAAGATTCTCGGCCCGATTAGCCACGCAGGGTGGGAGCGCTTCCCCGCATTGTTACAATCCCAACCCGGCTATCTACCTACCTCATTGAGATAGAGATAAGCGGACGCCCTCGGGAATTTAATACCGAGCAAGTACCCCTTGGATAACCGTGGTTTTCTCTAGTTTCTCACGGGAAAGTAAAAAACGCCACCGCTTTCCAGACAACACCATAACGCGAAAGTTGAATTTATACAACTTGTCTTCTGGTTTATAACACACGTTGGGACTGGTATTGTCAAACTGCTAAATAACATTCCTTAGACGTTGCATCTTGGCCACGGTGGATGCCGAAGCGGTGAAAAGCTACGGTAGCATAACACAATAACAACAAAATAACACCGAGGCCTGCCTGCAGCTTGCCTTACAGGATTCTGGTGTAGGAATACATAGCCGGGTAGTCAAATATAACAAGGAAAAGGTTACCACTGTGTGCACTGGTCCAGGGATCTTAATTCATGGTCAAAAGACGTGATTCTGAAGAAAAGTCTAAAAGTCTAAAAGCGAAGAAAATAAGTAGCGATGCCGACCTCTGATCAGAAGGAGGACGGGAAAAAAAAAAAAAAAAAAAAGGAGAAAAATAGACCGTACTGCATTATATTTGGTAGGGGTAAATATAAACCCCTTGTTTCCCCGACCCCTGAACCCCTAACCAACTGTTGAGAGACTATTTTGATCTTCCTCACCCCAAACACGTGCTGCCGTTCAAATATCCGTCCAGTTCATGACTTTTCTAAGCAGCACCGAGCAACCCCAAGCTCCAAATTACCCTAGGACCTAGCCAAGCTAGTGGAAGGGAAAAATTTTCTACTAGGAAACATTACCGATTTTAAACAAGCCCAACACCCAAGGTTGTTTCTCTAATCAGCTGTCTCTATCTAAAAAGAGATCCCTCGATCCATATCAGCGGCCCAAACGTAAAGAGCCTTCATAGAATAGTAAATGATAACCGGTAAGTACGAGCTTCTTGGTTCATCATTCTAAGATGCACCGTGCAGCGACCGGCCTGAAGTTTAAGAGGTCCTTGCACGTCTTGCGAGAAGGGCATCGAAACCACGCCTAGATAGCCGATTTTTCCTGGATATTGAATATTTCCTGGATATTGAATGTTTCCTAGATGCTGAATGCTTCCTGGATATTGAATGTTTCTTGGATATTGGATGTTTCCCGGTTGTTGAATGTTTCCTGGATAGTTGGAATAGCTACGGAGGCTAATGCTGTCAAATACAGCCAAGTCGTCGACAGTTTGGTGGTAGATTTTGGGGGCTTCGAGGATCGAGGATTCGTTACACCCGACCCATAGTCTGTCGTTTTCAATCAATATCGTACAGGCATTGGCGACCTTGCTTCTTTCATCTCGCATTGTCACGACGGCCAGTTGTCTCTTCCCAGCGTCTGGAGCGTGAAAGTGGATTTCGTTGCGGTGGAACAGGTCTGGCGGGAATACACCGACGATGTTAATGTGTCGATACAGCCTGTCCATAAAGATTGTCAGGCCGTTTTGCGGTGGCCTCAATTGTTTCCTCTCCAGTGCGCCAGTTGGGTGCCAATTAAGAGGCGACCATAGGTGCGACAGAGACACCCAGATCGGTTCGATATCAAATTCAGTGAAGCTGGAAGCCTGGAGATATACAATCATCCCGTTACTATGTCCAATACGGGCGAAGTGTCGGGGAAAGCCGTCGGGGGAGCGGCGAAGTAAGATGGCAACGTGCTTATCATCCACTCCGTCACTTTGAACGGGGTTGCATGCTAGAAACGCATAGTAGATGTCCTCGTAGCCAGGAGCCAGTGCTAAGGGTAGTTGGATATGTAGACCATGGTTGGTCACCGTAAAGTCCGGCTTCGGGGTTAATATGCGGAATGTGTTGATAAACTGCTGGTAGTTGCACGGCTGATAGTAGGCTGCATTGGCAAACTCGTCGGGGGATTCAGCCAGCATGCCGGTTCTCCCACTGTTTCTTTCCCAGGTAAAAATTGTATGGTCGCTGGTCAGACGCATAATCTCATGCTGGAGGCGTGTAAAGGCAGAGTGGCCTTCGCCGTACAGAGTGGGCATGTTAACGCCGAACAGGCCCATGAGCGAGTAGGCGCGGTCCTCGGGGCGAGTTGTTATGCGGTTCGCGGCCCACGACATCTTCTCGGCTACGCTCGCCTCGTAAACGTCAATACCAGATACTAGCGCTTTCTCTGCAATCCCTGTCATCCGTGACAAGCGCGGTGCCATGTTTGTCTTTGCGCCAATACAACGCCAGCCGTGAGCAAAGAATTCCACCTCTGCCGGCGCAATCAGTTCCTGGAGGGTCCAGCCACGGCTGAACCACACGCTAGACCGCAGCTCCGACTCGAACGTGCCTTCGAGCGGGGCTGGGATGCTGTACACGTCTTCCAGGTAGGCGTAGCACCTGTCCGACTTCTCGTACCAGCTGAACATGGAGTTGATGGCCTCGGACAGCTCGGCGCTGCTGCGCTTGTCGATGCAGCACGTGTCGATCCACGCCCAGCTCAAGCCGTCGAGCAGGGCCTGCGTGCAGGTCATTCTGAGCTTCTCGTAGCCGGGCTTGGCCTGCGCACGGTTGGCGCCGGCGCTGGCGCCGGCCATCATGTCGTCAAACGTGACTTCGTCTTCGGGGTTCGCGGCCCAGCGGTGCGAGAGGATGGCGTAGGGCGGCGGCACGTGGCTGATGCAGGCGCGCAGCGAGATGGAGACGGTCCGCGGGCTGGACGACTCGTCCCAGGCGCAGTGGAGGAGGTGCATCTTGATTTGGCTAATGCGTGGTGTGATGCTTGGGTTGAATTGAGCGTTAGTGTTTCGCGAGGTTGGGTCGAGCCTTGCGGTGAAAAGTTGAGCAGAGCTGAGCTGCGCCGCTGGTGCCTAAATAAAATACCTAGAGCACACACACACTCGGCCGAAGCACGTGAGTGTGAGTGGCTTGGAAAGCTGAGAGCTCCCCTTCCTATCTCGTATTTCCATACATAGTCAAGGTATCTTACCTCAATAGCAACAAATTTTGGCCAAATCCGCATTAGGCTCGGAACCTGAGCAGGAGCTGAGGCGCACTGAGCATCACCCTGAGCCGAGGTGAGTCTCAGGGATGTCCCAGCTATACTTGCCGTGTCCAAACTAATCCCAGTTTTGGGACACTCATCCATAACTTCTATTTTCTCCTTACGGACGGAAATAGTTACCATTATCAAACCAACTAAAGCCACAATCTGTAATCAAACTGAGAATTTAGTATGCACAAACTTGTCCATATGCATATTTTAAATATGACGAAATTCCATGAATATTATGTTTACAAAATATCTAACTAGCTTAATTTGTCACGGCATTGTGGAAGCCGTACCAGTACTATATAACCTACTATGGGTTGCAGGCTGGTAGCTTGCAATCTTGGTGTCCTTTTGGAAGGTTTAGCGCAGCGGGTGGGGTTGCTGTGGCCGGAACTGTCACAGGAAGAGCCTACTCTGCAAGGCGCACCGCCCTCGGTCAGCTACCTTCCTGTCAGAAGCGCGGCACACTGGATTCGGTGGAATTAATGGGCTTGCAAAGATGTGATTGTATTGCTTGTGTTGCTCTCTAGCCTCACCAGAGAGCCTCTGTTATAGTTGTGAATAGTAGCTCACACTAGCTGAACTGACGTGGCCAGTTCAGCTCTCTGAGCTCTATTCAGCTCGGTTGGCCACACCTCCATGGTGTTCTGGCCTCTGGCCAGATCCCCCTTCTTTCTGACACTTCTATCCCGAAATCGTCAAATCCGCCTTACCTGTTCAATCAGCAGTTATATCCCATGCATATAGAGATATCTTAGCCCAGGATGTAGGTGGTGTGGAAAGAGGGAGGAATCAAGATTGTTGCTTGACCTACTTCTGACAGATCGCCACCCCACGCTCCTCACGAAAAATCGACTGGCATTGGCCGCAGCGCAGCCACTTGAGACATCAGCCTTGATTAGCTGCAAGAGTGCAGAGAAACCAAGGCGCGGCGGGGTTATCGGTGCGCCACCAGCCTTTTAGGGCCTTCTTTCTCCTTCACATGAAATCTCAGGCAATTACCCGGGCTTCCATGGCGGTGACTGTATTCAGTTCACTCTCTCCTGTGATACACTTCAAACCTTCCTACTCAGCCACGTTCAACCTTTTTTTTTTTTTCCCCCATGGTGGCGCTCACATCGGTAACCAGGAATCGAAACACCTACCATAGTCACTCACAAGTAGAAGGGCAACATATCCCCAGACTCTGCGACGTTTGCCTATTGAAAAGCTATAGTAACAAGGCAGCCTGGCTGAACCGCGGCACCCTTGCCTTTCCCCTTCATATAACGTTGGCCCTATGTCGTAGCAATGGCTTTTCACCGTTGGGTCCCACCACTCGCGCCCTGTATGAAACACGCCATTGGCGCCGTAGTAGCATCTGCCGGGCTACGCTCGTGCAATAAAGTGTCGGAAGAAGCCGTCAGATGCACATTCGTGGCGCGTGTGGTGCTGGAATTTACATTCGTGGCGCGTTGATCTACATACTTGGCCCTGATCTATATTCCTGGCCTCCTAGGTCTAAGACCCGATTTCATCACATAAATTAGGGCATCTAGGCTATGCCCACCTCTCTTTCTTCTTCCTAATACAAGCACTCTTTTGGCCACTTTCTACGCACCGTTGTTTGTGACATAAAGTAGGTATAGTACTGTTCCATGTGCTTCACAACCATCAATCCCCACAACCATCAATCCCCACAACCAGCTGTTAGCCCCATCCACAGCGCCCCTGACAGTAAAATTTCTATAGGTAAGAGGTAAATAACACGGAGGGAGCACAAGGTGCAAATGGCGCAAAGGTGTGAATGGTGTGAATGGGGGCATCCCATTTTGTTTGGCGGACTTGCCCTTTGAAAGCTTCGCCGTACCGTACAGTAATTATCACGGTGAATGCCGCGATATTACGAACGATTCTTACATCTTCCGTAGTACAGTGGTCAGTATGTGAGTTTGTCACTTCCTCGGGAAGCGATTTGCTCGAGACCCGGTTTCAAAACCAAGCGGGAGAGGTGACTTGGTGGGGGTTCTAGAGGGCTCCTTTTTTTACTATTTTCCTCTAGTGACGTCTATAGCTTGATTCGTTGTTGTGAGGGGTGATGTGTGGTTTGCTGTTTCTGGGTGGGGAAGTGTGATGATGTATTGGAGAGGTTTAGGTTTGGTGGGTTGTTGATAATGAGGTGGATGAGAATAGACTTGATTTTCCTTACTTGTGCTACATCGCAGCTATAATCTCCATATCCCGTTCCAAATGCCCAATGACCTCAAAAAACGCAGCATTCTGTTGTGTGATCCCATCCTCATCCTTGCCAATCTCCCCAAGGCAGAAATCCTGCCTGATACACGTCCGAACAGCGCTGTGGTAGTTAGCCCCGCCCATTGTATTCACTCTGTCCAGTACCTTTGTGATGGTCTGATAATCATCTAGAAGGCCTGCGGCACACCGACCAGAGCCTGAGCAAAGACTTTCCATTGGCTGCCCAATGATAAGCTCGATTAGCAGCACTCCCAGTGCGAGCAGCACTGATGTCGGATTCACAATTCTCCCACACCCTGCCTGGCCCAACCTGTCTGGAAACGGCCGCAGAACAAACGCATCTTGACGAAGTATGCCGTCGTCTTGTTGTACCAGAAATATGTCGCTATGTGTCGGTGGATTATTCAGCCATGGAGTGCTTTGCAGGTGCACGACACTCGAAGCAACTGTCCACGCCAGCCGCAGTCGATCGAGATATGTGAGAGAGATATATGGCTTGCCGTTGTGGTTGGTGTTAGCTGCGCCGGCGGCACCCAGGACGGCTCCCAGGGGAACCATGGACCAGGCGGCGCAATCTGCGCCGTCGAGACTGCCGAGGGGATACACGTCGAACCCGCGGGAGAGAAGGCCCGTTTGATCCATGATGCGACCACAGCACTCATCATCACCTTGCTCCTGGAACCTTCGGAGGGCTTGGCAGAGATTGCTGATGCTGGAGGGCGAGCGAAGGGAGGTTGTCAGGGTAGGTGTCCACTGCATCTCCATGGCGTCGGGATTGGAGACGCTGGCGGCTGTTGTCGTTGTCGTCGTGGAAGTAATAGATGTGATGGACGCTGTGACCATGGTCGTAGCTGATGAGGCGAACGAGAACTTGACTCTTTTGTTTGGTCTGAGGGACTCGGGTCTCGAGTGGAGAGATGTTGTGGCCGTCTGAGGCAGCAGCAGCTTTTCGACCTTGACAGGGCGTAGCAAGACCTGATTCCAGAGCCGCAAATTTCCCCATTGGTGTCCGTCCGTCTCCATAGCGGTTGAGGCGTACGACACGGAAATGTGAAACTTGAGGCTCTTGATGATATCCTCGTCGTCATCGTCGGGGGTGATAGTCACGGGCTGTGGCGTGAGACGCAGGCCCACGTCGTGAAGACTTGGACAGGCGCAGGTGACGGCGCCACGGACGGCATGATAGACGCCTATTGCCGTGTTCCTGACGACTTTGCAAACTCTGCCTCTGGCACGGCGATTCCGGTTGCGCTCCAGCCCGACGTTTGACGATATCAGACTTTCGAGGCTGGAGACGCCGTTCCGTAATCTGGCGATTAGCTCCTGGTAGTCAGATCGTTGGAGGACGAACAAGACACGTTTAAGCTCCTTCTTGACGCTGGAGGAGCCCAGCCATTGAGGCTAAAGACAGGTGAGTGTCCGATACCCCTTGTTGTCTCGTTCACAGGGGTCACTTACCTTCCCGTCTGGACCAAGATCGAGTTTCTCCTTGATCTCTTCAATAGCCTCATTCATGTCGAGCAAATTGTCCTTGAACACCTTGGCAGACCTCCATAGGCGCTCGTGAATCTTCCTGGCGGTGGTTTCATCCCTCCAGAGTGGACCAAGTGGGTCGTTGATCATGTTCTCAATCTTGGTCTCGGGTACGATATTGACGAGGAGGCGCTCACAAACATTTTGGAGCTTCGCTTGCTCAGTCTCAAGACTACGGGTCAGACTCTTGAGTTCGCGAGTGTAAAAGCGCCATTTCTGAAAGGTGCTGGCGCCTTTAATGTAGAGCTGGAGGGCTGAAACAAGGATTGGGACCCCGCCGAGCACGACACCAGCGACCTCAAAACCCGACATGGCGATGCAGGTGATGAGCGAGGGCGTGGGGAGAATTACGCATTCTGCGGCTCATGGACTGCGATGGAAAGGAGCAAGTCAGGCCTGCGGGCCTGGTCTGCGATGCACAGAGTTGATGAAATGGAACGACCCGACGTCGCGCGCTGAGCCCCAACGTTCCTTCCTCTTTCCCTGGAGAGCAGCTACCCCGCTCCGTCTGCATGCGCCGAGCCCTGTTTGGCCCCCAATCGCCCAACGTGATTCCTCACTACTTGAGCTCGCTCGCTTTTCCTTCACTTTTCCTCGTGCTGTGCTGTGCTGTGCTGTGCTGTGCTATTCCCGCCATCCATCATTTCGTGCTCTGGTACCATGCCCTGCGCCCCGTGAGAGGGTCGCAAGGTACATCTGTTTTCAGTGACATCTGTCGAACCTGTCAAAGTGATTTTGGCTCTCGGTCGGGGGAAATGGCATCTGTAAAGGGCCTCGTCCTCTCGTGTCTGCAGGCCTTTGACGTTCTGTCGGCTGCCATCTCGGCCGCGGAGGCCGGCGATGGTGAACGAAACTACGACCTTCAAGTTACCCAATCACAAACATTCTCCCTCGCCACCGTCATGGACCAGCTTGCACGATCCAAGATCTGGGCTGGAAATATCGGGGTTCACCGCAAGGGGAGGAGTTCTTTGGATTACCGTCTGCGGGAGGCGTCGCACATTCGTGATCAGGTTGTCCGTCTGCTCGGCGATCTGTTGGATGCCTTGCAAGATGGTGAGTTAACGTTTTCACTGTAAAATACCCTCGCACTGGCTGACTGATTGGAGCCACCTCGATATTTCGTGGGGATCGTGCACCGTGGGACAGGGAGCCTGCGCTACAGGATGAAGGTGAAGACGAGGATGACGACGAGAATGAGCCAATCGACGACATTGACGACACAAATATGGCTGGGCTGACGGAGCTGGATCAAATTTCTGCCGACATAAGTGAAGTCATCGACTGTCTCTTCCGACTGTCCGTATCAATACAAAACCCAGCCCCTCACGACAGGTTCAAGAGCTCGACATGGACCAACATCGGAGAACAGGCACACTTCTACATTAGCCACGTGCGGGAAAAGTTCCACGACGGAGACGATGACTGTGTTGGCCGCCTGGGGAGGGCGAATGCTCACCGTCGACAATATTTTCGCTATCGGGAGCAACAGCACGAAAAGCTGGCTCAAGGGATCGACGACGCCCATACTGGCATCACAATAACCGATGATGCCCTAACCAGCACCATCGCTCCTTCAATTCCGCAGCAAATGAAGAATGTCATACCGAGTGAGAAGGGGCCACAAGGGTTGGATGTCATCGACGAGGACAAGGTGTCGATTGGCTGGACCGAGACCACCGTCGGATCGTCACTTGTGGCCAGGGATAGGCCCAGGATCCCTCCCCTGCCCAAAGATTCCGCTGAGCGTCCATTTGAATGTCCATACTGCTACATGATGATATCGGCGACAACTACCCGAGCATGGAGGTCAGCGTCATTTTTTGCTCTTGGCGCTTTACCCCTGAACCCCAGAGACTGACCCACTTTCAGGAGACACGTATTTGCCGACCTCTGCCCCTATGTCTGCATGTCACCAGACTGCCACACGCCCGAAGAGAGGTACCAAGGCCGTCACGAATGGATGCAGCACATGCTTTACAACCACTGGAGGTCATGGACTTGCACGCTTGGGTGTGGCGAGAGCTTTGACTCGGCAAACGAGGCCAGAAGCCACTTGATCAAAGCCCATGCCGATATCTCCACTCCAGAACGCATTGAGTCACTTGTTGGGATTCTGGAGGGACCCAAGTCTCGGGATGCTACGGTTGACTGTCCCCTGTGCAAGCAATCGGATTTTACCATCAAGGAGTACGCTCGTCACGTCGGACGCCATCAGAAAGACCTATCTCTTTTCTCACTACCTCCGCTGGGGGATGATGACGAACAAGACCACGGAGCCAGCCAGGACAATGAGAAATCCGGCCAGGATATCGAAGGCGAGGGAAGTGGTAGTGGCGAAGCAGGAAGTGAGATCCATGTTGACGATTACCAAATTTTCGAGCCCATGACGGGGCCCAACGAAGATAACCAGTCGCCACACCCACCATTTGATTCTGATTTTGTGGATTTTCCAGATCAGGAGAGTCGTGTACCGGGCCAAGAAGGCTTTGCGCACAACGAGCCACGGTACTGCTACTGCAACCAAGTTAGCTATGGCGAGATGGTAAGCTGCGATGCAGACGACTGTCTACGGGAGTGGTTCCATCTTGGCTGTGTGGACCCAACAGCCGCCCCAATGCATGGAGGTCAGTCAAGATGTTTTGCCACATCGGTGCGCATAGTGCTGACTCACAACCTCACACGCAGAAAAATGGTATTGCGATGAATGCAAGCAGCGGTTACAAATCACAGCCGAGACTTCGGAGCAACAAGCTCCGCCTCAGCCCTTGAGTTATAGGCCTCGGATTGAAAGCTATCTGGCCGTAAGCACATCTGGCCGGGCTACGCTAGCGTTTGCTAACTGCTGCCAGCCCGAAAAGTTTTACCCAGGTGACCAAGTTTACGTAGGCGTTCCCAGAACGGAGACGCGCGAAGGGCCATACACAGTCTCGGCTGTGGATAATAGACGCTACCAGCTCTGCAATAAGGATGGAAGCCTGGTTATGATGGATGGCTGGTGGAAGGAAGAGGAACTTGTGCTTTATGATCCTTTCGAGTAAGCTAGCAGCACCTTCTAGCTCGAGAAGCTGACTACGTCCCTGGGTGTCGGAGTTGACCAGAGGCTTCACCTTCGATGCGGAGATGGCCTTCTCTCTTGCCCCCTTCGCTCCCTAGCGGTGCATATATTGAAGTTTTGGGAGGCCCATTCCTCCTGCGCGTGATATTGGGCTCGAAAAGGCG